GAGTGGTTTAAATTTTTTGGACGAATCACAAAGCGATGTAATTTCTAATTACTTTTGATGTTCAATTGAAAGTTACTCTGACTTCTGACTGCTTTTAACAGGTAAATGGAATGCTGTATTAATGGGAAGGAAAACTTGGGAATCACTTGATGTGACGCAGCAACCTTTGCCAGGAAGACTGAACATTGTTATAAGTAAGACACTGAAGTAAGTTTACCTTCCTGAATATGGAAATAAAGATTCAAGCACACAAATTATATGTCACTTGTATGAAATACAATCTAAAATGTAAATTTATTTTGTGTTTGGATGTTTTGCCCTCTTATTGTGGAGAATTAGCGGGATCTAACTCAGGGAAAAATTCATCTCATATTTCCCCTCACAGTGTCAAAATAATAAAGGGGGTAAGTTTCTAAAGAAACTGTGATGCTGCATCAGTGGAGGTAACAAGGTCATTTGGTTTTATCAACTAAGTTGAAATTGTAAATTGGCCACTGTAAAGAGTGGAGAAAGCCAATTTACAATTTCAACTTAGTGTCAAAAAGAGCCCTCCTTCCAATTGACTCCAACACAGGTGTAGGATGTTTTCAAACCTGTAGAGCACATCCTTTTACCGGTTGAGTTTTCAAGAATACTAAGTGATTTATGGCAGCAATGAGAGGTATAATAAAACCCTTGCCAGGTCCTTGCTTAGAGGAGACAACCAAAACAGCAGGAAAGCAAATATCTGCATGGTTTTTGGAAGGCCCGTTGAGGGGAAAAAGACCCCTATTTTCTCTTCATTTCTTACTTGTTTCTATAAACTGAGTAAAGGGACGAGGCTAGATAACTTACGGGGTGTGAAAACCAGGGCAACATTTTGTGATATTTATTTTTGCCACACATTGCTTTTTTTCAGCATATCTCCTATGCAGCAGGTCCAGCTGCTGGCCATGCCAAGGGGTGGAGGGGGGGGTATTTTATGTACAAATTACGCACTAATTAATGCTACTTGATGATGGTTAATGACACCAGTTAAAGCCTGTCATGCATGTTAAGTCTCTCTACCCAAATGATGTTATAACATGGCTTTACAAAAGCGTGCGCTCTGATTGGCTCATATGCTCGATCCATTTGCCCGTGGGTTGCACGCTGACTTCAGTTTGTTTTGCTTTTTGTTTTTCATGGTAACTTTTTGATCGATGTTGCCACTACACCCAACATAATTCCTGTTTTTTGTAGGTATTTTGCTCGTGAAATATGGACAAATTTTGTGATTTCTCCGGGGATAAGGAAGATAATTCTTGTGAGCTGCCAAATTTCGAGCTCAAGATTTTTGTCAGGTCTCCAGCTTAGAGTTCGAGATTTGCAAACTTGAGCGAGCAGGAGCTTAATCAGCTGGTTCAACAATTAAACATTTATACTCGAAACGAAAGATGTTTGAAAGTCTCAATGTTATAAAAGAAATGGTTAGCGTGCAGCGTGCACCCATTGAGTTATGGATGTACTTGGGAGGTTTGCTAAGCACTTTCGTGCTTAGCAACCTCCCGCGTGCATCCATAACTCGATGGTTGCACGCTGCATGTTAACCATTTCTTAATTAATAAAACATGGTACAATTGGGTAGTTTGGAATAGCAGGTGGGAAGAACGCCTGAAGGACTTCGGATGTCCTCCTCCTTGGGAGGTCTGGGCTCCTCTGGGAAACTTTGAAGGTTTAGACTCTACCAGGTTCTAGTTTTCCTGCATTTTGAGATCTTATTCTAATTTATGTTGCTTTATTGTTCCTAGAATCCTACTAGTTTTAACAGAATTAAATGGGTTAGGAGTACAAAGCCATTTGTGTAAGGTTACCAATTAGGTAGCCAGCGTATTTCAAGTGGGCAGATCCACCCACTTTCAGGTGCTATTGACATCCCTGTTTCACACAAGAACAGGCAATTTTTAGTACATCTTATTATAATTTTCTGTTTACTTTCAATCAGGGAGCCTCCTCTTGGTGCACACCATGTTTTTAACAGTGTCTGGTCAGCAGTTCAAATGTTATCTGCCTCTCCTCTGGTTGACACAGTGGAAGAAATTTTTGTGCTGGGAGGCACTGATGTGTTCAGGGTAATTATCCTGTTCAGTTTTTCATCTTATTATCCAACTACACCTAGACGAGTACAAATAACGCCATAGACGAGTACAAATATCACGCGGTGTTTGTACTCGTCTATTGTAGAGTACCGGTTAAACAGGTTTTCTCGCATCGCGCAAGCGAAGAATTGGATTGTAGTTACGAAAAAAAAAACAACAACAAATGGCGGACAATTTGAATCATATTTCCGAAGACGAGGAGTCAGAATGGCTGGCAAATATGGATCCAAGTTCATTACATGAATTGAACGAAGAAAAACAGCTCGACGACCAGAAAATTTCTTCATTTAATGAAGAAAATAGAAACAGCAACACAACAACGCGCCGATATTCCGTTCCGCTTCGCATACTTTTGTCACGCACTCCCCGTAAATAAATATCCGCGAAATTCGCCCGCACTGAAATAACAGTTTGGCGTGTTGGATAATAAATAACTTATTAGACGTTTTGTTGTGTAGTATCGCTGAGTATTTTTACTCGATACTTGTATTTTGACTCGCCCTACCGGCTCGTCAAAATACGGCACAACTCGTAAAAATTCTCAGCGATACTACACAACAAAACGTCTAATAAAATATATATATTATGATCATTGATAGCCAGTTGGATGTAACTCTAGGAGTGACCAGAATCTAATTTCTCCTTACCATATCACCCCTGTGTTACACATTAAGGTCATGAGAACAAAGAAAATGATCACCAACTTAACCAGCTCTTGATTGTTAAACGAATTCTCCTTGTTAGCACCTTAGGGAATATACAGAGAACAGTATCGAGAATATGCATGCCGTTGTTGAGGTGTATTTCGTTTTGCTCACAACAAACACTTTTTGTCTTTTTTTATTTCGCAGGAAGCGATTGAGTCTTCTTACTGTCAAAGGATATATTTAACAGAGATAGACAGAGAATTTGAGTCAGATACATTCTTCCCGGCGTTTGACAAAAAAACGTATCGTCTCATAAGGTACGATGTAGGGGTTACATATAACACCATTCGAGTGAGGCACCCGACAGAGAAGTGTCTTTAGCTGCGAATCAATTGTGAAGATCATTTCTGTACAAGGTTACCACCTGCTGGTCAAAATATGATATGTTTCATATAATTGTGGAGAACAAATTGTGGATCCCTTGAGAAAATTTAACCTCAGACCTTCGGGGATTTTGCTCTACTATTGTGCTATGGATAATATCCTTGATCATCGGGGCCATTAGTTGGTTGGCATGTGACACGTGCCCTGCATACAGCCAGGATTGTCAATACAGTGTAATGGCCTGCGACCAGGCCGGCAAACCCGTCCCCGACTTGTCTCAAATCTTTCTTGCGCGCCCTTCAAGGGGCGCTAATACCATAAAAAGGGCCTGCTCATAGGATACGCCAATGTAAGGCGTCGCATGAGAGAATAGATGAGAAAGTTAGTGAATTGTGAATTTGTTTGTTGATTAAAGAGGTTCATTTCGTTATATCGCGAGCGCGGGACAACGATAAAAGCTGAGTCCCCTATGAACAGACATTTGCATCTTGCTTTGCGCTGCTTAACTACCGAACGAAAGAGAGCTCGTTGATGAACTGGGCCAGTTGCAACGGTTATCCCTCAAACTCCTAAGATTTGATTGTAAATTCTCCCCCTAGCTGCCGCGCATTTCTTCGTGAATTGGTAATGAGAATTTGGTATTAGATCAAGACAACAACTTCGACCTGATAACTTTGAGTATTCTCGTTAGCTTTTTGCTGGATAATGTGTGGATATTAGAGGGAGAAGTAGTCAAGGGCGTCTGACTGGGAAAGACCAATCAAAAGCCGTTGCATCTAATTATCTCAATGTCGGCATGCATCTAATTATCTCGGGTCAGATGACTCCGTGACGTCACGAAAAATGGCGTCATGACGTCACATAATCTTCTAGAAAGCGCCAATAAGGTCAAAATGATGTCAAAGAGGCGGAGCTTACGTGACTTATAAATTTCGGAGTCATTTTTCAGTTCACCCATTGACTAATTCAATGAACCAAGATTACCTCGCGAACCGGATCACTTTTTCAAGTGAAATTAGGATCAACGGGTTTACATTTTATCAATACAATTTTGGTTCCATGTACATTGTACATTTTACATTTTATATAGCGCAGACTTCTATGTGGATATGTTCAGTCGCGCTTAACAGTATCGTAAGGTTGAGCTGAGATCGGACGTCAGCATTTTTATCAGTTACGTTCAGTTACGGTTAGGAGTATATTGAAATAGCACCTGAAATCAATGGAGCCTACAAAGCAAGAATCCAAACGAGTTCACCCTTACAAGAACGCCAACGGGAAGAAGAAGTCGAAACAGGAGAAAGGGGCCATACTGATTGACCCGCTTCCAATGAAACCAGCGAAACAATTGGCAGAACTGAAAGATAAAGTGACAGCTGACGTGAGCAAGGAGCAAGTCTTATCCCAGCCACAAGTGGAAGTTCTAGAAGAGAGTGAAATTCAGTCTCCCTTGCTCCCTTTCACTGAAGGTACGAGTACTCTTCATTATTCAAGTTTAGAAGAAATATTGGATAGTGTACCTAAAACGCATCCTTGCCCTATTCATCACGTTTCCATGACTGAGCATACCTCCAAAAAGAAGATGTGAACGGAGTCTTTCTCTGATGCCCAGAGGAGAATTGTCCAGTATTTTGTGATGGAGATGATTACGAGTGGTATGATATTATTATCAGTGTAGACAACAAACCCACTCCTGGTTCACGTTGGCTGTGATTGCCAATATGGTGTGTGAATGTGGAAATGCACCTACCTTGTCCCTTTCTTAAAAAGAAGGGCGGTTCCTATGGCCGAATGCACCTGCGTTGTGGTGAACGGAATTGTAATCTATTCCAATGGTGGGGTTTCAAACCCAGCAAGAAGAACATGGCCATTCTTACCACCGTGATGACCTTTCATGGGAATAATGAACCTGTGCCCCTTTCCTATCACATGCAATCGCGATGAACTTGAAAAGACGTAGTTATTTCATATTTTCAGATCGAGTCCGAATGAAGGGGCACGCAACATAGCGATATTTTTTACGTCGTACGAGAAGGACTTGTTTGTCTTAGAAGATCCGTTTCTACTCACTATAAGATACGATTGGAAATGACATTCCGCCCTGAATATAATCAAGCGTTCTACGAACACTATGGGTCTTACCCCAATTTGAACCATTTATTCCATTCGTTTCTTCTCAATGAAAACATTCGACGCTTTCTTTCTGAGGGTGATCTCGAGGATATTATGAGTTGTAGAACGTACCATATTTCCAATATGATTTCCTCATTGTATGTTTATAACTGTTTCTTGTAGATTCCTCGCACACATCAATGTTCACATTTGGTAGATTGTATATTTCAAGCGGGTACAGGAAAATAGCTTTATTCTTTACGCCATGCGAGAAGGAATCGAAGAAGATCCATTTCCATTCAATATAAGATACGATTGGCAATTAATTTCTGCATTGAATTTACACACATGTTCTACCGATACTAGTGATCTTTACCTGACGAGTTTCTTCTCAACGAGAACGTTAAAAGTTTTCTTTTTGAAAATGACCGCGAAGGAATGAGTCCTAGAACCTATCATTTTTCCAATATGATTTCCTCATTATCTGTTTACATTTGTTTTTCTTCGATGCATCCTACTTTTCCATGTGTTCGGTTATTAGAGTTGCAACCGTCCATCAAGCAATGCCTTATTGATCTAATAAGTAACATTGTTGAAGAAATGAGAGCGCGTTCTTTTCACGAATGTAATTTTATCATTCAACCTTGTTTTAGTATCCGGTTGTTTGATCAAGCAACATCCTTAGGATTACAATTGTTTGATGCTTTTCGTGAACTCATGTTACTCATCGCAATCCCAACTAGTTGTCTCTTTCTCGTGTCTGTCGTGAACCAGAGAAGGCGACGAGAATTGTTCGCTACACATTTAAATTCAATCTATAGGGACTAGAATCATTTTCACTTGTTCTGTTTCTGAATTGATAGACTTTTTTTTACCAGACTTTTTTTCAGAGTGACTTCAGACCACAAATTCACTCCTGTGCTTTTCATTTAAGTGACCTATTAAGAACGCATAGGCCACGGGATATTTTGATATTATTACACAGTGTTCACTTTTTTATGGCTATTACTAGAAGAAAGGAAGAAAGGAAAGGAAACTCTTTATTCGCGCTATTTCAAGAGGTTACTACAGATGATAAAAGTCAGAATATATATAAAAAAAAAACAGTAAATTACAGCAATAATCAAAAGTAAAATGTGCACAGTGACCAAAGTAGCATAGCTTTCGAGTTGGCCACTGTCACGTATAATTAACTGGTGTATGTTAACATTTACACAAGACTTACTTTACTTTAATTCTATGTTTACACTAACCAAGGTATTTATACACAATTAGTATCATAAACAGAGAGAATAGAGAAGTGAGTAAATAAGTAAATAAATAAATAAACGATGAACCTAATTGGGGAGAAGACTTTTTTGAATTTGATCCTATTGCTGTACCAGGCTTTAATTGGATGTATACTATATTTAACGAGAACCACACGACTATTCACTACTATGTACGTTAACACTTTGTAAAAGAAAAAAAATATTGTAAAAGTAAAACACATTGTAAAAGTGAATAAAACAAAAGTTCACATGGTTACATGGTTGTTGCGTCGGTGTTATTTTACACAAAGATCACCCTTTTTTACAGAACCTTTTTCACTATGCGAAAAAAATCTCCTCTCTTTGGGTTGGGGGGGGGGTGGAAAATTGCTGTCCATGTTGTTTAGGGAATGTCCATAGGTTCTTCAATTTCTTCTTTGACTGGATGTCTACAGTAAATGCGGAATGTTAACTGCTGAATTGTATCAACGCTTTTGCGACAATAGTTACAGTAAAATCTCCTCTCTTTAGGTTTGGGTTGTGTGAAAATAGGAAGCTGATTGGTTACCTGAAAATTTCTTGAATCCAAGGGAAGTTGATGACGTTGCTAGGACGACATGAATCTTCTGCGGGCAGTTGTAATCTTTAACCATCATTAAATGTATTTGTCAGCGTCTTCCCCAGTACATCGTTTGAAAACTCCTTTGATATATTCATTGAATGCCTCAATCACTTCGTTCCTTTTCTCAACCAATTCAGGAGAGTAGCCTTCGTCTGTGTACTTGTTTGTGTCACGAATATAAGTGGGGCGGGAACAAATTATTTCCAACAATGAGTCGTCGTTAGCCTGCTGACTTACCAAGTCTAAAATGTCAGCGACGTAAGCAGTAGAATACCTCAAATCTTCTGAGTGCATCTTGCGAGGTAATCTTGAACTAGTCAATGAGTGAGCTGAAAAATAAATCCTAAATTTATGTCACGTAAGCTCCGCCTCTTTAACGTCATTTTGACCTTATTGGCGCTTTCTAGAAGATTACGCGACACCATGACGTCATTTCGTGACGTCACTGAGTCATGTGACCCGAGATAATTCGATGCATGAGATAAGATAGATAATCCGCGATAGATAATCATAGAGATAATTAGATGCATCGGCTCCTGATTGGTCTTTCCCAGTCAGACGCCCTTGACTACTGGAAGAAGTAAAATTTTTGTCACTTCTGGCCGGGGCGTAAAGGGTGCTTGCTTATGCCTCTTGCTTCCCTGGGGAACAAAGGGCCGCGGCGCAAAGGGTAATAGATGACAAATGTACGGTGGCTCTCAAGGGCCATCCACCTACAAAAATTTTCATGACTTTATCGCGCGATAAGTTTTGCTAAGCCCATTCATTCAAAAATTTTGCAATCAACATTATCGCGCGATAGATAAACTTAACGCGCGATAGAACAACTTATCGCGCGATAGAACTACTTATCGCGCGATAGAACAACTTATCGCGCGATAGAACAACTTATCGCGCGATAGAACAACTTATCGCGCGATAGAACAACTTATCGCGCGATAGAACAACTTATCGCGCGATAGAACTACTTATCGCGCGATAGAACAACTTATCGCGCGATAGAACAACTTATCGCGCGATAATTTTATTACTAGCTCCCATGGCCCCACGACCATTAGCACGTGGTTACATCCATAGCAAGATGGCGGACCAAGTTTCGAACGTGAGTAATTGTCCAAGAAATAAAGACTTTTATTCTTGATTTTTGAGCAAGAGACGGTAATCTTTGGGTTAAATTAAATTATATTTCTATGCTTTCTACGCCTTATATTCATAAAC